GATAGATAGATAGATAGATAGATAGATAGATAGATAGATAGATAGATGGATGGTTAAATTCCTGAATGAACGTGCGTCCTTTCAGAAACCGCGGTCTGCGCTCAGTGTGCGGGCTAAGACGGTTTCTTATCTCCTTTCTGCACTCGCCTGTTTTCTAGTAGCGGCCCATCCCTACTCAGTTTGAAATGCAATCCAGTGCTTCTTTATCACTTTGTCTGACCGAAGCAAGCCATTGCAGCTGCAAACAAAAGTTCGATTTAACCCTATAATGCCAAATGTATCATATTTGATAGATACGGTTTCTGAAATGTTTTGCGCCTGACACCATTTGCATAATTTAATGGTAAAAACTTTGCTCAAAATCCTATTGTACACAATCAGATATACCTGATAACAAGGGGCAGAAGACTACACAAAAAATAATCTTGACTTATCCATAGTAGTAAATTATTAATATAAAAAATGTATTTCTGTTTTTTCTTTTTACATATTTTGTTAAAAGGCCAAATAAAGACTTCAAACAAAAAAAAAGTAATTTTCTGTTTTGTTTTATTCTTCGATTGGGCTTTAAAGAGTTAAAGGGCATAAATGTAATAAAAACAAGCCCAGATCAGGAGCCCTGACCACCGTTCAAGTCCAATGATCCAGAAGTGTAGTGGTGTGTTTAGCTGGACTGGAAAAAAGTATTTCTCCCACTACCTTTAGAAACAAACCGTTTTGTTTAGTGTTTTCCTAATTCTACGGCCAGACTTTAACATTTAATACGTGAACTGAGGTTAGTGGAGCCTGGATTCAGCTCTTAGAGGAGGCTAAGGATCTTTACAGTAGCACCCAAATTACATACATACTGCTTTGACAGACTGATTGGCAGTAACTAGGATTGCTTAGTATATATAGTTCTGATGTCTTTCTTCCTTGGCACACACCTTAGCTTTTATAGTTTGGGTAATGATGTTTTGTCAAATATCTTTACAGGCATTCCATTAGAACACGCTGTGTTTTAGTTCCTCCACCACTGTGAGAATGTCTTCATCTTCTGAAAATGTAACGGAATGATAGGACATTTTAGCCGACAACAGAGGTCCTTCATGTGGAAGGAAGTTGTGTTGAACATGTTGGCAGGAACACGACGATGAGGAAACATGCTGTGGTTTCTCTGGTCGTCCAGATAAAATGTTAAAGCCTTGGCCTGATGCTCTTTGGGTTAGGAAGTTGTGATGTAGGCTCGTAAATTGTGCTTCTGATGTTGCCATGACCACATTTATTAACCAATCATGTGTGCGCGCGCCTCGGGTTTTAACCCACAAACCTGATTCATAAAATGTACTGTATACAAAATGCTCTCCATATACTTTTTTTTAAATGAACACACTCTTTATTTTCACATCATGTCAACATACTCCATTTATCCTTTCTAATAAGATGCTTTTTTTTAAAACAACATTTTCAACCAAGGACCGTAAACATATGGAACAAGTGATCTGATCTCCATTTCTTTGGAATAATTAATGAAACACATTAAAACAAAGATAAAAAAGATGACAAAAAAAGAGTTAAGACCAGACCGAACGAATCTGGATGCCGCAAATGTGTTCAGAGAAGACCATCTAGAGTCAATTGTTTTTCACTATTGGCACATTAAATATGTATTCAAGCAGCCGTTCCCCTTGGAAAGCTCTTTTAGCTAAGAGTTACAGACAGCACTCTTCAAAAACCCTCTGTTTTGTTTCAGTGTAGTTCAGAAGAGTGCAGATTACAGCGTACAAGTCAGCTAGTGTTTTGGGTTAGTGATCTTTTTGTATGACCTCTTGTGAGATCTCTGCATTAAAGCAACCATCTGTTATCGGTGATATGGCCACTCAGCAGCAGACACCTACAGGAGAGATAGGAGAGATACGAGCCCATGGACGTAAGGGACAGCAGAGAGTGGGCTGACCGCTCGCTTATGGCCCAACCCCTGAAAGGACTCGGACGGGTCGCAAAATTGCTTGCCCTGCACATCAGATATGGTCGACACTGACAGTTAGCGGCCTCCACGTGGACTGTGATGACAGTTGGTCCCGTGGTGCTACAAATTATAATCACAATTACGCCGTGGTGTGATAAAAAAAAAGGGATCCTAAAGGACAGCAAAGGCTGTTCGTGTACGATTAAAATGTGGGAAGCGTAAAAATGGATACAAAACCTCTTTTTATTCCCATCAAAGGCAGATGACAAATATTACAACAATGAGGGATAGTGACACTCCAAAAAGTTTGAGGTCTGGACTGATCAGTTTGAGAAATCAGTGTTCTTCCCTTTCAGAGAGCAAACAGACGCGTGCACACCATGCAGGATTATTTGCTTTTTTAAATGCTCAGTTATGACAAATACTGTGAGCAACTGTGTTTGTGCTCACAGTTTTGTCATGTTCCAGTAAAGGAGTGAATGAGAGAACAGTGTAGAGGGAGAATAGAACATGTGTGGGAGATCAGTTTTCTCATTTTGAGCACGTTACACATGGAGAAGGCCAGGGTTCAAAATGTGCCTCTACCTCAGGTCATCTGCTTAAGGGGAGATATTTATTTTGAAGGGGGGTCATGTGACGTATTGGGATCTGTCAGTGGTCAAAGTGCCCACAGTGTGGAGAGTATGAGAGGGGCTGTGATAGGGATGGGATTTATTTTCTCCCACAAAACAGATCAAAGTACAAACAAAAAAAAGAAAAGAAAAAGAAAAAAAAGTATTTATGTCCCTCGCCCCAACCACAGAACATCTATGCTGCTCCATTTCGTCGTATTCAGCAGCTAAACGGCTCTGACCCACATTCACTGCCATCTTAGTACTGAAAAAAAACAAAAAAACTGCTGCAAGTCTGCAGCAAACAAGCAGAAAACTTGGAAAAACTGTAATATGTGATTTTTTTTCTGTTTTAAATCTTTGGTGAATGTATACTGCTGACTGTAAGAAAATAGCTAACGCTTCCGGACTTCACTCATTAACAGGACACAACATGGCTCATGTTGCAAACGTCAGTTTGGTATCAGTTAAAATCGATCAGAAAACACTGAAAGAATCAGTAGCCATGAACATATTTAACATCTCATTTTCGCTCATAAAACCGCTTTTAAAAGACACACGTGTGGGTGAAAAACTACAAAACCTTTTTCAACTTTGGGATCGGACCCAGCCATTTGTGTTCTGCTAGCTTGTTGCTATCTGTTTCTATTTTTTAACTCCGTGAAATAAACTTGCAAACAAGAATAAAAGCCGAAGGAAGCAACCGACGGAGTGGTGGTGGGTGGGCCTTTTTTTTAAGGAGGGGGTCTGATGGAGATGAGCAAAACACAGAAGAAGAGGCACGGCACTTTCCAAGGTTTAGGCACGCGGAAGATTTTTTTTTTCTTTTTCATCAGTGTGTGTATATGCATGTGTGTCTGTGTGTGTGTGTGTGTGTACATTTATATGTTGCGAGACGGGTGGGTTAACAAGCGCAGCCCCCGTGGCTTTCCGAGGGGGAGTCTTTAAAGCCCGGGCTCCTGTGGTTGGACATGAGGGCGGCGTCCCCCTCGACGCTCTCGTTCATCTTGTCGCAGATCACGTCCACCAGCCGCTCGAACACCTGCTTCACGTTGATGTTGTCCCTGGCGCTGGCCTCGAAGAATTCGAAACCTGGGGACGACCGAGAGAGCCCGTGAGCAGTGGATGCCGGACGCGGACGATATGCTACCCAGCTCCTGGTGCAGTCTATGGTCATCTCCCGCCTAGACTATTGCAACGCACTCCTGACTGGTCTCCCGGCCTGTACAGTAAAACCTTTACAAATGATCCAGAACGCGGCGGCGCGTCTGGTCTTCAATCTGCCCAAAAAATCTCACGTCACCCCTCTGTTCATTGAACTCCACTGGTTACCTCTGGCTGCCCGTATCAAATTCAAGTCCCTGATGCTAGCCTACAAAGTGCTTAAGGGTATGGCTCCCATCTACTTGAATCCCCTTGCAAAGGCTTATGTCACAACTCGATCACTCCGGTCATCAATGGATTGTCGTCTAGCATTGCCTTCGCCACGCTTAAGACAATCCAGAGTGTCTACATGTGTCGTTCCAAGATGGTGGAACGACCTACCAAGCTCCAAAAGAACAGCAGAGTCCCTGTCTGTCTTCAAGAAACTCTTGAAGACCCACCTCTTCAAAGAGCATCTCCTATCCTAACCCTAACCCGTACCTCTACCCCCCCACAACTCCTTCTGTAGTCCCCTCTACCTCTATCTCTATCTCACCACTGACTCTGATCAGTGTTTCTCCTCTGTATAGCTTATTGTCATAGTGATGAGAAATGTAATATTGTGTCTACTCTGTAAGTCGCTTTGGATAAAAGCGTCTGCCAAATGCATAAACATAAACATAAACATAAACATAAGGCGAGGGGCGGCGTTTTTTTTACCCAGGTCCTCTGCCAGCCGGTGGCCGTCCTCGGTGGGTATGAGCCGGTCGTCCTCCAGGTCGCACTTGTTGGCGACTAGGATCACCTGAGCGTTGTCCCACGAGTAGGTCTTAATCTGTGTCGCCCTGGTGGGCAGAAGGACGCCGTTACAAGGTTTGTGATAGGCCACATTTCAAACCCATCTCTCGGGGGACTCGCAGGGTTCAAATGTATCATATTTGATACATACGGTTTCTGAAATGTTTTGCCTCTGACACGTTTTGCATAATTTAATGATAAAAACTTTGCTCAAATTCCTATTTTACACAATCATATACACTTGATAACAGGGGGCAGAAGACTACACAAAAAATAAGACTTATCGCATAGTAATAAATTATTAATATCAAAATTAGATTTTTCTTTTTTCTTTTTACATATTTTGTTAAAAGGCCAAATAAGGAATTCAAACAAAAAAAAGTTATTTTCTGTTTTGTTTTATTGTTGGATCATGCTTTAAAGAGTTAAAGGCTGACAGCCACATGTGGCAGAAATGTATAGAGACAAGAATGAACATGGCCCAAATAGATAATAGGTACACAAAGGACAAACAAATCCACAAGGAGGACAACTTTTACAAAAAGTCACGAAAAGAGTTTTTATGAACAGGCAGAATCCTTTGGACACTCACCAGTCCTGCACTGCGTTGAAGGAGTCCTGGTTGGTGATGTCATACATGAGGAGGAAACCCATGGCTCCCCGGTAATAGGCTGTAGTGATGGTCCGATAGCGCTCCTGCCCCGCCGTATCCTGCAATTGCACGTAAACAATTCAATTCAATTCAACTTTATTTATATAGCGCCACATCTCAACAACAGTTGTCTCACAGCGCTTTCCAAACAGAGCAGGTCAGACCCTACTCTGAAGTTAATTACAGAAACCCAACAATTCCCACCATGAGCAAGCACTAGGCGACACAGGCAAGGAAAAACTTCCTTTTAACAGGCAGAAACCTCGAGCAGAACCATGGCCCAGGGTGGGCGGCCATCTACCTCGGCCGGTTGGGGGTGAGGGAAAGAGAGGGCAAGAGACAGAGGGCGAGAGAGAGAGAGGGCGAGAGAAGGACAGAGGGAGCAGAGAGAGGCAGCCGACACAGCAACACATAGACTAGATTAAAAATGGCAATGATATTAATACTAATGATTATGACAGAAATAACACTATGCAGAGTAGTAGCAGAGCAGGAACACGGGGGAACACTTTTTAAATAAGGAGATTTGTACAATTGTAGTAAAACCAGTCATTTTTGTTAAGACCACAAGGGGGCAGTGTTGTCCCAAATATTGGCCATCAACTTTACTCGCAGAGTTTAAGTCTCCTAAATTGTCATTTCTGACTTCCACAGAGATGATTATTGTAACATTGATCCTCCATAATCAGATAAAAAATAAAAATAAAAATAAAAAACTACAGATGTGAGAAAACATTATCAGTTTGACATTTCTGCTTTGTGAAACACATCTCAAAAAAGCTGAAATTGTAAAGAATTGCTTTTTGAAAAATCAAATACAGAAAAAAAATCAATCAACCACTGCGTGACAACCTAAAAGATCTGATGCTGGTCTAAAGAAATAAGCAAATCGGTGGTTAAAAGAGAGTGCTTTCAAAGGTGATGTTTACACTGCCCACTGGCAGGAAGCCCAGCCACAATAGGAGCGCTGTCAGAAAAACAAAAACAAACAAACAAACAAAACAATGGAACTGATTGGCTGGCCTCAGTCAAGACAACCTTTCAAATTTAGAGCAGGCGCAAACAAAAAAGGGTCGGAAAAGGGGAGCACGCAGGTCGACCCAAGCAGAAAGTCCAAAGCCATCTGGTGTTAACGGGAAGAAACAGGAGTCGGTGCTTGTGAGTAAACAGTAAGGATAAAGGTAATGGGTTTTCCATCGAGAAAAGCCAAGCTAAAATCTAAACAGAAGAAAATAGGCTCACAGTAATGATCCGTGGATGATTGGAGGGAGATTATATTCAGTGATTAATCAACTGACAAGAAGACTATGCTACGCATTGATGTTATTTCAGCTTTAAGATGGATGCCAGAAGAAATTAGATTAACTTCTGCAATTATTCGTGACTTAGAGTCAATATCAGGTAAAGGGGCAAAGGGAGAGTCAGGTCACAGTAAATATACAGGATGGAAACTATTTTATACCGTCAAAAGGTTAATTTTGGATGCTGTCATTTATATATGACAATTCTAGAAACCTTGTCAGTTTCTCTCAAATAGGGCTGTTGTGTGATAAAACACAAAGGAACAAATCAGTGATTTGTATTCAAAATGTCACCTTCTTGTGGTCCATAACCAACAAGAAGGTGGCCTTTCAGCTCCGGAAGGGCGACTTGCTTATCAGAAGACTCTTCCGATCAAATGGAGGCAACATTCAGTATCACAGAGAGGGTCTCACTTATCTTTGAAAGGGAAGAGATCAAACAGGTGGACCCAGGTGGTGTCATGGTTACTCGGTAACCCGTCTGACTCCTTCATTTGCATCTCAGGTCTGTGTGCTTCAGTGTTTGTTTGATGTTTCCCTCATTTTGAAGAGGCGGAGGAGTTAGGGGGGTTGTCCAGGTAACCGGGGGCCAATAGGGTTATGAATGTTCCATTACAGCCAGCACTGCACTGAATGGTGAGCGCAAAACATCCCTTTCAACTCACAAAAAACGGACACAAACCCTGTTTTTGCAGGCTTTAGATATGCTTTCCTAAGGTTAGAATAGGTCAACCTCCATCTTTACTTCATCCGTGCAGAAATGATTAAATATTTGGCAGGCTGGCAGCGGGGTGTCTAACCAAACAGACCGTCTCCGGGGCAACGACAAACAGTCCAGCCTCCCCGTGTGTGATGACAGAGAGGAAGAGTTTAAATCAGGTTTCTGCGCAGTCAGACGTTCTGACGTCAGCGGGGCCCTTGCTCTTTTAAACACGCGTCATCTGGGTTAGAATTAGCCGCCCACGCCAAGCAGGGGAGCACATCCCCTGGGATATAACACACACACAAACATCCGTGTGCAGGAGTTCATACTAAGTGTGCAAAAGGTGTGTATGTGTGCGTTTGCTTTCGGATCAGAAACATTCATCCATTGACAACAAAAAAAAAGAAAAAAGAGAAGGAAATCTGATTAAGCCCACGCTGTGGGGATGTTCCGGGTCTGCCTGAGGCGCCATGCGGCGTGTTATCAGGCCGGGTTGTTTCCACCACACACACCGTCCGGCTGCTGGGCACAGTGAGCTCGTCAGCAATTATCCCTGTGCTAACTAACGTGAATTTAGTCGGGACATTTGAGTGGGAAAGGCCTGCTCGCTGCTCCCACACCCTCTAAACACACTGCTGCTCCAGCTCCACCGGCGCTGCTGTAAATCTTCATTGTGTCTCTCTCTGCTGCTGATAGAGTACTTCCTCTGCTTCCTGAGGTTCGGAAATACCAGCTTTCTTGGTCACCGTTAGCGGTAAAGGCACTGAGACACACAAAATGCCCACCGTCCCTCATAGCCCCGCCGACCGCTTTAAAAATCAAGGCTCTTTCTGAACTGATAGAGCTTTCTTTCCCCCCCCTCGTCGGGGTGTCACGCTGCTTGTCGTTTTATGAGCGATGGTTGTTTGGTCAGGTCGGTCACCGTGTGTGTGTTTTTGGCGTGGGCTCCTCTGCTGCCGCTGAATTCTGGTCAGTGTTGGTTTATCGTACGGCAGCTAACAGATTGTTAGTTCAAATGAATCATCTGTTTGAACAGTTGTATACAATAGGACTTGTGGTGTGCTGCGAAGAGTGTACTGTTGGGGCCGAAAATGAAGGATACACTTTAACATGCTGTATAAACTACATTAATGCTTCATTAAGTAGACAGCGGATACAGATAGATGTTCAGTGATCAAGAAGAAGTGATCAAGGAAAGTGCAGGACATTAAGAAACAGAGGCATCTTTAATCCACTCACCCAGATCTGCAGCTTGATCCGCTTGTCGTTGCGGAATACCGTCTTGACCTTAAAGTCGATGCCCACGGTGCTGACGAAGGCGGAGGTGAAGGAGTCGTCTGCGTAGCGGAACAGAAAGGAGGTCTTCCCCACGCTGCTGTTCCCGATGATCAGCAGCTTAAACATGTAGTCGAAGTTCTGGTCAGCCGCATCCTTCTGCGAGGGCTGCTGCTGGAGCCGCGAGTCGGTGGACGCCATCTAAGTGTCGGGAAGTGGAAAACGGTCTCAACACCGGGGATGACAACTTTCTGAATATACCAACTCCCAATCATCTTACAATCCTTTGATTGTTGAGAACATCTGAGAACTGATAAAACTACTCAAGACTGAAATTCTTCAACAAAAAGTATCTGGCATTACCATGTACTGCTTACTGAATTTGAATCTTTTCAAACAAATACAGCAAGGAAGACCATCAGAGGGCATAACATTAAGCGAAGTTCGTACGGAATTGGTATGTTAGGCTACTAGAGGTAGATAGATAAGCTGTTCCTTGAGAAGTGAGTTTTAAAAGAACGTCTACGATAGCTAAGGGTACACCCAGAAGTCTCTCTGTAAGTTGCATTCATTTATTTAGATGAGTCATGGGTGGTGTGGTGAACTGATGTGTTCCTCACTGACTGATCAAATACAAAATGTGGTTCCATGTTCTGGCCAATCTCTAAGGAGGAGCTGATAGATCGGGATGAGAGATAACCAAAGCATACGGAGTCAGGTACAGCTCAATCGTTCTTATGTTGAATAACCTGATGATGACAGGGTTCCTTTGCAAGGAACAACATTAAATGGGGTTTTTCGTCTTTCAGACTGGTGTTATTGGCTGGGGTGGCCTGTAACTCTGTCAGAGAAGCATACCTAATGGTGGTGTTCCTTCATCCAGTATTGAGCATTTCGGGGAACCATGTGCATGGGCAATTTTGGTAAACGGACGTTTATCTTTACAGTTCGTTTTTGATCTCTAGATAGTCGGACAAAGAAATATTAGACCCGGTTCACAGTCATTTACTTTGGCCATCCAACTTTTTGTCAGTCATTACCTGCTTCAGATCAATGGTAGAAAATTCACAATGCGGCTATATGAATTAGTCAAGCAAATATACCAAAATAAAGATTTCACTTCAAAATTTGGAGCAAATTCTGGATATAAATGATTTAAATGGTCAAATAACAATATTATTACATGCAAGATAAAAAAAGTTTCTTACAATTTGCAAATTAAATTCTAAACTAGTCATTCTGTAGAAGGTGGTGTTTTTTCTATTTTGCATGTTTCTGCCATTTCATTGACCTAAAGAGCAAACTCAGCAGCATTCAGTGCTCCTGCATACTTTACTATGAGCCTGGCTCATGAGTAGAAAATATATGACGATTATGGAGCTGTCCTCGCTGAATTCTCTCTTCATGAATGGAGCACGATAAGAAGAAATGTCAAAAATCTACAAAGATCTCCAGATACAGAGGTGTCAATCATTTTCCTGTATATCAGGTTTTCCAAAAATGTTTGTAAAACTGATCCTGACCTGATAAAAAGGGCCAAACTGGTTCAGTCTAATCTGATTAAGTTTAGATAGGGCACTTTCATACTGATTGGAACAGTAATCTGATCAAAATTTGACCATTTCAATATAACTTGCCAGATGAATGAATATCAATTGACCTTCAATACTCTCATGACCAATCAATGAACTATTCTGTTAATACTGTGTAAATATAATACAGTCCAGCTATTAAAGAACCTGGACGCAATGAGAATACTGATCACCAGAAACATTCAAGCCTAAAACTGCATCTCGTTGATAGAGCTGTTTGTAAGTCTTACATTTTTGTAAATTTTTTAAAAAAAAATCATGTTTTCGATGGAATTAAACAGAGAAAAGCAGTTCATGTGGTGCCGATGCTTTACCATATCTCCTGTGAGGCATATAGCTGTAGGGTATGGAATTATTTGCTTTGAATACATTTAATCTTATGCTTTATGAACGTTTCATAAAGGCTATGACAACTTTTTTTTAAGATCTAAAAGATAACTGAAGCAGCAGCAGTTTGATTCATTCACGCATAACGGCAAAAATAAAATTAATTACTGCCAGCAAAAATGAAGGCATTATTATTATTAAAGAAACATTTCCATTAAAACAAACTGAGGTAGGTGTATTGTTTTTGTCCGTATCAATTCTTTACGTTTCTGTTTTAATACAAATTTAATTTTCTTGTCTCAAGATTTATTCTAAAGATACATATATTCTTTTTTTTTTAACTTGTTTCTGACTTGAAAATAACTTTTATTAAGGAAGTCCTCTGGCAGAAACACAATGTACACGTCACTTTTCTGATATTACGTGACCAAAAAGAAAAAAATTCAAATCTACACACAGCGTAGGTCATATTCCTTAAGATCCTCCACCATGTTTGTACAGAAACCCAGAATGGACAAACCAAACACGTCTCTGCAGAAGGCCTTCCTGTTTTTTATCTTATGAACGAGGCTAGCTGGTTAAAATCAGCAACTGGCCACTGACCATCAGACTACTCTTTGAAAAGAAGCGGCACACTGTCCAGTTGTGTCCGATGATGTTGTTACTAAGTGGCACCAACACATTAAGACACACACGCGTATTCTAGAACCAACTCACGTTAGTTAGTATGAGTTAAAGTCTTTAAAAGTGTGTCTTTAAGGTAACACGAACTACTGCCATCTGCCCATCTGCTCCACCCTGGTCATTAATCTCAGTGTAATCTCTCCTGAGGGCCACATATGAGACTACCTTCCATTTAGCCTCTCATTGTCACTCATCCAAACCGAGGGAGCATCTGCACAGCTTTGGGTGTGAAAAAAAAAAAAAAAGGGAGCGGAGGGCTGGTGGTGTGTATCCTTTGTACCACAAAGCTGATCGGGTCAGAGCAGCTCGGCCCTGCCTCTGTCTAGTGAGACTAGTCTCCGTGGAGACCATAGTAGGTCTCAGCAGCCTGCAGGGCCCATTAGCGGTCAGGGCAGTGGGTTGTTTCGGCTTTTAAATGGCCAAGTGGAGGTCCTCGGAGTGGGATGGATGCATCGAGGTTTCTGCCTGTTAAAAGGAAGTTTTTCCTTGCCTGTGTCGCGTAGTGCTTGCTCATGGTGGGAATTGGTGGGTTTCTGTAATTAACTTTGGAGTAGGGTCTGACCTGCTTTGTTTGGAAAGCGCTGTGAGACAACTGTTGTTGTGATGTGGCGCTATATAAATAAAATTGAATTGAATTGAATCCATAATCTCACTGCTATAAAGTCTAGCAGAGAATAATGAGAGTACCATTAATAGACAATAGGAGGAGGCTGTCTTTGATATCTGCTCCATCTGGCTTACTTGTACCATTGTTACCACTGGGGGTCAAGATTCTCCTGTGTGTACTTTGTGATGAAAACATAAAAACTTTAAGATAATCCAGGATGCAGACGTCTCCTTCCACACGTCAACCTGTGCTATCTTGTTTGCCGGTGGATGTTGAAATGCAACTGCTTACGGACAGAGTTAAAAATACCACAATGCTCTTTCACAACTTTTTCTCTCCGGCTGAGGCAAGCCCCGCCGCTTTTGCTCCGAACGTGCCGAAAACTGTTTTCCTGCAAATTACACAAACCGTCATAATCTCCCGAGACATCGGCTTCTAAATCCTCAATCACATGACGCCCTCACCCTCACCACACAAGGCCCCCCCTGCCCGAGGCACTTCTTTGAGTGTGTACGGATCAGATACTGAATCCAAACCAGATCATGTGTTCTTGAAGCCCACTGCCCTGCTCAGGATTTCTGTCAGTGAAGAAAAGAAAGCACATCTGATCTTTCAAGCCAAACTAAACAGAATGCAACGGGCACCTGTGGCGGATACTTTGATAAGGACTCCCACATCGGCACCTGCTATGATATCACAACAGTCATCCCTGAGGAGATTGATACGCTCAGCGTGGTGGAGCTTCCCCCTTTGGCAGGCAGAAAGATGGATGAGGGAAGTCCTACATGGCCCAAAGTCTATCCAGCATCGCCCGTAAAACAAACAGGGATCCATGATGGTGTATGGAGTGGAATGGTGGCACTGTTTGGAGCCAGGAGCCAGGAGCTTTTGGGCTGTCTGAGCCAAACAGGAAATGACCACTATCGATTAGCCTGGCAGCTGCCACATCTGCTTTCTAATTAGATGGGCTGAGGCGTAGACAGGGATTTGCCATTAAAACCCAGACATGAAACAACGAACAGCAACAATGTAAAGGTAAACCAACGTAAATTACCTGAATTAAAGTCAAACAACAGAAACATACTGACAAGACAAACAAAAAAACAACAAAAAAAATAGACGGAATAGTAGTTTGAATGAGGCTCCTGGACATTAAGGAAGTGTGAAGTCGCAAAAACCTGCCGAGCCAAGAAACCTACCTTTTTTATCGAGGGAAACAAAACGATTAAGTCGGTTCCCTGAGCTTCTCTCTTGCCTCCGGACCGTAAACGTGCCGGGAAAACCAGTTTACGAGGAAGACTTCTGAGAGCGCTCCTTACAACAACAACCAAAAAAAAAAAAAGGCGAAAAATCCTTCCTGCTCCAGAGTTAAAGCCGCAGTTCGCGGACGTAAACCGGGGGGCTACTAATTAGCCAGAGGTGGCGGACCGGAGCCGGAGCAGCCGCCTGTGGGTCCCTCTGTGACGGTGTAAAGGTGGACGGCGAGGCGGTCGTTGAACGCAACCCAGCTGTCAGACGGCCGGCGGCGCGAGGACAAGGGCTGCTCGCGGCGCGTGCGTACGGGAGCGTGCGAGCAGGAGGCTACAGACTCACACACCCTCCTCAAAAAAAAAAAAAAAAAAAAAGAACAACACGAGCGTGTCTTGCAATATCTGTACTTCGACGACAAGTGTGTGTCGTGCTTGTTTTTACCTCTCCTTCTCTATACGTTATGCTGTTCTTTTTTTTTTTTTACCTTATCAACCCCTTGCCCGAGGGCAAAAACAAGATGAGTTTTCACGTCGGAAGCCATGTTTAGTTGAAAGGAGAAAAAAAAAGTTTCACACATATTTCACACATACACAAAGACGGAACACAGGCACGTGAGTGTGCTTTACTGTTAGCAAGAGGGGACAGAACCTATTGTCCGTTGTTATTATTTACTGTTATTTTGATTCTTGTATTGTCAAGATAGACTCTTACCTAAGGCTTATTTTAGCATGACAAGTTCGTTTATCTAATTTTCTTTATAAATAATCTTTATTTTCCTGCTCTAAATCATAATACGTGATAATACTAATCTGTGAAATACTTTCCAAGTCATATCTTAGTGGGATTTAAATCATTAGCCCATTAGTTTTAACATTTCCATAATAGATTCAAATTTCAACGAAGTATATGTTTGTTTAATCACTGATGTATTCAGAAAATATAAATACATATGAAATCCATTGCTCACAATAGTCAATAGAAAACACTGGACAATGGCAACACGTAGGATTTCTTTTTATAAAAAACACAAATAAGGGTGTTCTTAAGAATATATGCAAGGATTTGTTATATAAGGAGAATCCAACTAAGTTTTCCAAGCAAGGATGAGTTGTGGTTCACCAGTTTATGTCATATTAAGTTAAAAGAACCATTTGGAATTAGACCAACAGTTTTCCTTTCGTCAAACTAGACATCACGTTATTCCACCGCAGAAGAAACTTAGCATCGGTTAGCTTTGGGGAAAGAAAGATTCCAATAAGAATAGATTACATCTATTGTGCTTTTTGTCTCAGTGTTTTTTTTTTGCCTCCTCCATCACTTAAACCCGACAATTGTCATTCAACATTCTCTCATTACAGACAATTGAATAAAGAGGCTTGAGGTTCTGCAGCTTTGGATGAATTTCACACAGCAGGCCTTGAACAAGCAGGAATCTCTGCTTTGAGAACAACTACCTGACTCCTGTATGGCGATGAGGAAATGATAAACTCATTTCCTTGAGTGAGTCAGGAATGAAGGAGGAATGGTTTAACTTGTTTGCATTAAGTTTCCAACACTTCCTTTTGTCGCAACACTTCTTCCTCATGCCTTGATTTTGAAGACAAAAACTGCTTCATTCATTCTAGCCAATACTCCTGTTACTGTGCAGGTCCTTTGATAAGGATGCGGACACTTTTTATTTATTTTAAATATCTTTTCCATGCCAGTAACAGCAGAGTAGATATACTAGTTCTCTGGTTAAACTTGGCTTATTTCCAGATGCCACGGCACCAGACTTCCCTCTGCTTCCTCAAGATACCCGGTGTAACCTTGTTGCTCTGAATGTGACCTGACAAAAGTTGTACTTGTCCTGTCATCCCATACAGTGTGTTTACAGTGTGAAAACCAAATGAAAAAAAAGGTTAAAAGGTTAAAACATTAATTTGCATTTGAGAAAAAATTCATGCATCTACTTTGTATATAAGCTTTTTTTTTTTTTATAACTCCATTATAAATGATAATTGCTCATGGAGCTGTCATGGGGACAACAGCTCCCTGAAGCAGCATTTAAACAAATGTTCTTTGCCTTCAAGGCCTTTCCTCTGAAAACCTGATGTGCATCACCAGTAATAGCATTAAACCCAGGCTATTCCCAATCCAGGCGCCGTCTTTGGAGTCTGGCTTTACTTCGACCGCGTGAAACCAAAAAAATTACTAAAAGGACGGCGTTTTTCCAAACCTTCTCTCACAGCACAGGTGTTTGTTACGAGTGTATGTGGATTCAAATCACACGCATCACGAGCTCACACAAAAGCAAAGAAAACTGAAGGACTTTCACCGGGTTTGAATGTACACTGTTTAATAGTGTTAATTCATCATAATCAACCATGATAAAAACTCATTTTAGTTACAAGATGAAAGGCAAAAGATTATTGAAATGAAATGCAGTGCTCTGAAAAACGTGTCTGAACATTCCCCCCTGCTGGTGGTAACAGGAAGCAATAAACACATTTGGGGATTTTCTTCAAATTTACACTTAAAAATAAAAAGAACATAAAAATACAAAACTACATCCTACTTTTTTTTTAAGTGTTATTCAAAACAAGGACTGGTTTATTGCCAGTGAGTGGAATTTCACAGTCAAATCTATTTTAAGGCATCACAGATCAGGACATGATTTTAAAATACTACGGTAATAAAACCTGGTCCTTGAGCGGGCCTCAGCAAAGGTAAATGCAAACAATACTGTCAAGCCCTGGATTTAAAAAAATAAAATAAATAAAAGGCTCTTTTATTTATTTAGCTAGATTCACACACTTATAGGCAGCCACTGCGCAGTAACACACTCTGGGTGGATGAAGCCCTTCAAGACTAAAATGTATTGAATGCCGTTCACGCTTTAATTCCAGCCCATTTAATTCCAAAATGATCTTGCCCATTTGACCATTTGGAATTACCTCCTGAGTCATTTGTCAAGTTCTGAGGCCGTGGGCCGCTCTCAGTTTAATCTGCCCTAAATGGTGGATAGATTCAGAGCTGTGTAGACCAAATTAGTGGTGGTGCAGATGAAGCCTACGAGGTTACAGAGGTTGGACAGCCCGTGGTAGCGGCCAAATTTGCTCTTGTAGGCTCTGTACTTGGGGTCCTGCTCCTTGAGCTTGGCGTAGGCCTCTTTCTGGCTGCCGAGGCCGACCTGGTTCCCCAGGCCGTGCTCTTCCTCCACCTCCCTCATCTGGAACATCACCTCCGTGGCGGCGGGCCCAAACCACTGGGCGTTAAGGCCGGACATGACCAGGGCCACAAAGAACAGAGCCATCTGGAGATGGGAAAGAGCACAAAAAAAGCTCACGGTTATCAACGTTTAACAGGCGTTACTAGTTGCTCCTATCCTAATCCTAACCCTAACCCGTACCTCTATCCCCCCACAACTCCTTCTGTAGTCCCCTCTACCACTATCTCTTGCTATCACCACTGACTCTGATCAGTGTTTCTCCTCTGTATAGCTTATTGTCATAGTGATGATAAGTGAAATATTGTGTCTGCTCTGTAAGTCGCTTTGGATAAAAGCGTCTGCCAAATGCATAAACGACATAGTTTAAGGACCTGCAGGCTTTCGTGCCAGTCCAGCAGCTCCCGGGGGTGGTAGACGGCGTACACGGCCAGGCTGGTGAGGTTGCTTCCCAGCAGGCAGTAAAAATAGACGGGGAACAGCTTGCTCTGCACCAGGCCGAAGGTGTGCAGGGTGACCTGCTGCACCAGCGCAAACCCTATAGGCGGGGAGACGGGAGTCAGGGACGAAACGGAGACGCGTTCGGCTCCTCAGTTTGAGCGCCTCTTACCGGCGATGAAGGAGACCCACAGCTGCATGCCCCAGGTGAAGGAAAGCACCAGGAGGTGGAAGACTTTGGCCAAATCTGTCGGATCCCCTTCAGTTGCCATGGTGTCACTTAAAGAAAGAGAAAAGTATAAGAACAACCCACTTGGATCCCTTCGTTTGATATTGTTTAAAGAGTGTGCAAATCAATTCTTTCCCTTTAATAGAAAAATGTATTACAACAGTACAGTAGCTTAGTAAATATAAAGTAAACATTTTGTGTTTTTATGTGTTGATTTGTTCCTGAAATACATTAATATTATTACACTAATGCATTTACATGCTCATTACATTGTGGAAATTTCTAATTTAACATTGGGCCTGAAATAAAGAAACCCCAAGCAGAATGATTTGGGACTTCAATCTCCGGCAAGAAGTAAAAACACAACCATAACAAACAACCGTGATCACAGATCTACAACATATGAAGTTGTGTTGTTTCCCCAGAGTGTCCGAGTCCTCAACAATTCCTGAAGCAGAGTCAGTAATTCAAATAAAAAATGTTTAAACTTAGAAAAAAAAGAAAGAAAAAGTGCCAAGAATGGTCCGACAATACTGTGAGCTACCTCTTGCCTCTGTATAAATCTTCAGATATTGTTTAATAGACGGAGAAGTTTATTTCAGTGGAAATGCTGAATATGTAGGCTGGAAAAAGAACGAGCTATGTTGACATTTCCAATGTAGGCTGAAACCTCTTTTATAACCTTTCTTGTCTTTTCTTCAGGAAAAATCCTCCAGGCTTTCTTGAAGGATGCCCAAAAAGGTCTTCTTTGGATGATGGCTGCCTTCTGTTCCGCTCTGTCTAAGGAGGATCACCCTGTTGCAAAAACGGTAAAAAGTATTTTCTTATTTTATTGCAGCACAGCACACTGATGACTTATCCCAAGTTTTCAGCTCTGTGTCTCTGATCAGAAGCAGGCAGGTCCCAAAAGATAGGCCTCTTGTGTGGTCCTGCTCTCACCCATTGGACCTGATAAAGTCCACAGAGGGAGATAAGAGAGAGGAGGTGGCGCCAACTTAACGTCGGTGTCCATTAAGAATATAAGCATCCTGCTGGCAACAGGTCGGCAAAAGCAACAGTAAAACTACATCCTAGCAGAGTAGGACCAGTTCGGCAATACCTGCTGGTGGATTTTATCAACTTTAGCTCCGCAGATAAGAAAGTTACGTAACGTCAAATGCAACGCTAACTCCATTTATTTCTTCAAATTAATAATAACGACCACAACGCGTTTCATAGCCCTAAAGTCGCATTTCTTACCCTTCTTTGTGAGAGTGCAGGTCGGAATAAACCTCCAGGCAGCTCTTTTGCAGTAGCAGCCTGGTCTGAAGTGTGGAGGACGTGTCTAAGGTGCCTGTCACTTCCTCTATTACAGAACAGAACCCCTAAGCCCCGCCCATCAAGCAAGACCGACCAATGGGAGTCTACGCTTTTTGTTAAACGTTTTCTAATTGATTGAATTGACTCATTCACACTCACAACCTCGCGCCTATTTTAAAAAGTTCGCTGGGTTTTATTTTTTAACGTAAATTATCATATTTTAAATTGTGCCCCATTTGCTTTATATTTGCTTTGTATTTTTTATATCTCACATATATTTTAGTACAGAGAAATTGGTTGGTGAAGACAGTGAAGATAATTTATTTGGATATGTGCTAGATTTGGTTTTAAAGTTTTTATTACTTATGCTTTATTTATTTAGTTTGAGCTCTTTTTTTAATATTTATGGACACGGCTTAATAACCAATATCATGTCTATTAAGTTAGATTTTTTGTATTTTGTTGTAGGCTTACATCTAATGCTACCTTTTCGGGCAGGAGAAAGCCTCAGCTCTTTCGGAGCTCTAATGTATTAATTTCTTTTATTTTCTTTATATTCTTTATTTTAAATTATTAAATACCATAGTTTTTTGTCGGTTGTGTGTTTGTCATCATGCAGTTGTGCCTCACAGGAGGCGGGAGTTGGATAACGGGATCCCTCATTGGATACTTTTGATCCAACCACAGACCGCTCAAACCCTGGACCAACCAATCAAAAGCCTTCTCTGAAAGGTTTCCTCCGGATCACTTTGTAAACGACTCCCAGAGCATCCTTCGCTGCTGAGCATCCTTTCAGGTAAGACACCCGTTGTGTTGTTATTCAGGTGCGGAAGAAACAGCGACGTGCTGACAGGTGTACGGGGGACTTGTTGCCTCATGACTCATGTGCAAAATTATTTCGAATAGCCCCCCCCCGCCACTCATTTTGATTTATTACGTCAGGCAGTTGTGGTCGACCTGCTAGCAGCTGTTAGCTTCCAGCGACCAGCACCAGCTTTTTGAACTCTAGTCCAAATGTTCTCACAATGCTTGTCAACACCCGTGAGCTTCAGACTTTGCGGGGAAATTAAACCCAATTTTCGGGGCTGTTTTAGAAATTTCGTTGGTTTTTATTTAAGCTGTGACGACGGAGACATGCGACTGTTTATAGTGATTTAGACCTCCAAACATTAAATGTTTGCGAACCTGGTGAAGGTAAAAAAATGAACATGGGCATAACAAACATCTGTGTTTCTAGTCCACAGAGTCTAAAAATGAAAGTGTATCTTCTTCTATAGTTTAAGAGTTTAAAACAAGTAAAAAAGTGGGCTCTAGAAAGGGGGGAAAGGAGGCCATATCAGCAATAGGCAACAGTCTTTTTATTATAAGTGTTTAAAGGTCCCTGGGATTTTGGAACTGTGTGCACAGATTCAATTAATTCTGTTTGTTTTTACCCCCCCTTCTTTTCCATAGTGATTAAAAATGGGACGCAGAAAGTCAAAGAGAAAGCCACCTCCCAAAAAGAAAATGACCGGTAACCTGGACACGCAGTTCACCTGTCCGTTCTGTAACCACGAGAAGTCATGTGATGTCAAAATGTGAGGCGTCTTTTTTTTTTTGTCTAGCTTAGCGATCCCATACTCTTTATCTTGGGGGGGGCCACTGTCCCGACAGGTTGTAAATGTTTCCCTGTGTTTCCCAGTGCATTGATCCGAATCAGGTGAGTTGAAGCGGGGAGGCTTTTAAACCTGCCGAACAGCCGCCCTGTGGGACAGGAGTTTTAGATCTTTGGTCTAGCTTATCTTGACAATACATCCATCATGTCCAGCAGGGGGGGGGAATTTAAAAGCTAATTGTTTTCCAGGGAACGAATCCGGAACACAGGGATAATATCCTGCAGCGTCTGCTTGGAGGAGTTCCAGACTCCCATAACCTGTATCCTTTTAATCCAACAGCACCACCGAAAAGGTCCAAACATTTGGAAGGCCTTGATTATTTTCCTGTTGATCCAAACAAATGGCTCTAGCGTACTTTGGTGTATGGAGTAAGACTGGGCTCTGCTTCTGATTTACCAAACTGGTCTGGTTCCGTTTTAAAAGGCCACGATTCAGTTTATATTCGAGTAACCCATAAGAACTCTGACCCTTTTATACTCTTCTAAAAATAACTTTAAATTTTTTTTTAAAAAGTGAAAACTGACCCTATGGGCCCCACAAACCACATAAAAAAAAATATATATATCACACCAAATTTTAAAGATCTGAAATGTTACTGTTGTTAAAAGATACTTTGGACGTTTATAATAAATTTAGTTTAGTTTAAATTGTTTTATACCTGCATCACCCTTTGTTCTTTTGGGTTAAATTAGATCATTTGCATATTTTTTTATATAGCTTTAAATACTTTTGTCTCAGAACAAATTTAGCTTGGGTATAAAGCTAAACACCCAAAAAAAGATGTACATAACCAAAATACAGATTGTCCTTTCATTATGTTGAATTGATGAGGGAAATGTAATGTTGTCTGAGGACTGGACATGTGATTTTATATAATTATATATTCATTTTTATTTTCCTGGGGTTGTAAATAAGTTCTGAGGGCGCTTTAAAGGCCTTCAACTGCTTCCTATTACAGAAGAAAGGTGGCTTTCCTCAGCTTCTCCCCACAGATCTGTCGGAGCCGGTGGACGTTTACAGTGACTGGATCGACGCCTGCGAAGCAGCCAATCAGTAGTCACTAAAAATGCAAAAGAAAAGCACTTGAGCACCACACACACACACACACCTTCTGCATGGGTGACTATGTGAAACAGAGTTCACCCGATGTAGCGAAACACGTCATCCTTCTTTAAGTGTCTTTTATTTTACGTTTTAATCCTGAAGCCTGCTGCTCGACACGCCACTCTGGGTCCACTACAGAGTCTCTGTATTGCTTTTAATTTGAAAATCTTCCTGTCAGTGATTTGTATAGTTTTAATGCTGAAGTCTCTTTTGGGCTAAATTGTCCAGTTTTCCAGTTTCCAGACAAAGAAAGTCTTTATTTACCTGAACCTGGTAGGATCATGTTATTGAGGTGACGTGTTGTCTTTTTTAGATTTTATTTTTCACTGTATACTTTTTTTCTGTAGCTCTATGCACTGAAAACCTTCTGTTGGTTTATGAGCAGTGTGTGTGTGTGTGTGTATATACACATATTTGTAATGTTAGAAAAAACAAAAAAACAATCATGTAATTTGTATCACTCCTTTTTGTGGAATTCTTATTTGTGTACCTGAAGGTACAATGGTAGAGGAAAAAATAAATCAGTTAAAAAAATAAATAAATCACAGTAACCATTTTGATGTGTTTTTATTGCACAAATGTCATGTTTCGTGAAAGGCGTGTGAGGAAAGTAGGGTTGGATACAAAAAACAGGTTGGGGTGAAATGATTCTTTACATAACGTCCATCAGTTCTTTTGTAATTATAAGAAGGGGAATGAAATCAGATATTCACCATTTCAATTTTGAAATATTTGGGAAATGTGAAAAGAGTAGACATCTGGTGACAATACAGTAAAGGAGCACCCAATAAGCAACACTAGATGTCACCCTTGTACAGGTCCCTCTACAGCTGCCTGCATTACTGCCCAAATATGGCTGTTTACTACCATCAACCTGTCATTCATAAAACACAACAGAACGAAGGGAAGGCTTTAGAAGAACAAGACGGGGGCTTGTCCTGAGGAGGATCTTTGCGGGGGAGTGCTGCGACATGATGTGAACCGATATGGGTTTGGGGCAGCGGACCGAAAAGACGAAGAGAACAGAGCCCCATTCAATTCTTACTCAGTTGTCCCAAAAAGACCACAAACCAGCCTGAAGAATTCTGCTTTTACAGAGTGGACACTGAAAGTGTTCAATTGAATCTATCTACTATTCTATTATCTGACAAATGCAGATGAAAACATTACCCCATGTGTTTTTTTTTTTTTAGAACAGTTGAAGTATAAAAAGGCATCAAATGGGGAAAAAAAAAGTCACAAAGGTGAAGCTGGGTAAAGTGCAAAAGAGCTGCAACCGTAAAGCCAAAGCTCACAGAGGCCAGACTGAAAGTCGCATCACTAAAAACTGCTGAATAAAACGTTCACCAAACTCTAAACTGGGTACCACAACACCTACATTTGCTCCTTTATAAAAGCAGCCGACTGTACATCGCACAAACCTTCCCGTTCGAAAAACTCTCCCCCACAAATGAAGCAGGAACGCACCCACCCGTTTTAGCACAGGTGCTCGCCACGCAAAGCTACGGGTCCTGCATCCTGATCTCCGATTGGTCCCAGGACGCCGAGCTTCTGCGTGGTCCCAAACGGTCCCTACTGTTTTGGGGGGGTAAGGATGTGAGGTTAGAGACACAAAGAGCTAAAAAAAAACAAAAAACTAATTACAAGCATAAAAAGCAATAGGAAAAAATTCAGATATAAATAGCAAAGGTCAGTAAAATAGTCAACGTCTGAGCATCGTGTGAGTATCTTTAAGCTGTAAAAAACAGTAACCGTGGCGACAGCAGGACATTTTTCTTGGACATAAAGATCTGTGTAAACGCTTTCTTTTTTTTTTTTCTTTTTGTTTGCTCGTAGAAAGGCAAACAATAAATTCCTAAGAGTAAAAAACATGCTTAGGAAAAAGGAGGGGAGGGAAATGAAGACGACGATGACGTCATTCAGATTTAAATAACAGTCTGGAAGGGCTTGCTGGTCACAAAGACGGCAGTGGGTGGTTGTTCTGAGTTATAGTAAGGGGGAAAAGCTGTCCACGTTGGGGTTTCTTCTTTCCTTTTGGGTTCTCCTTTTAGTCAGAGTACTGGTAGCCGTCAAACTCCGCCTCGTCGCCATTGTCATAGTAGGCCTCGGTGGGGTTGGTGCAGTACTTGTTGTCAAAGACCTGGCGAGGGAGGCCGTAACTGGTCATGCCCTGTTGGGAGGCCACTTTGTTGGTGCCCATCTGGAGGGAGATGGTGGTGGTGTCGCAGTTCTCCAGGCCCAGGTTCTTGTCAAAGATGTGCCTCCTGGTCCCTGGAGCCGTCATCCCAGCCTGAAGGGAAAGGGAACGCGTTGAGAGGGAAAAAACAAATGATCTGTACTCATGACCAACTGGAGCACAGTGATGGTGACCACATGCAGATAAATCATGAGCACTTTTTTTCTCAAGTGAACACAACAGCACAATATAAAACAAAAAGAAAAAAACCCTTTGACCTAACAGTGCGCTCAGGGACTTCTTTAGACTAGAATTTATTTCACATTATTAGCCATTTAAAGGGTAGATAATGGTCTGTATCAGGCATTTGTCTTCAACCTGTAGATGAAGTCGACCTTTTAAACAGTATCCAACATTTCTATGTATGTCTGGATAAGATTAAACTGTTTCTGATCTTTTGTATAGTTTGGATTTATAGCAATTTCATAATTGTTCCAGTTTTTCATGTACCCTTAACCTTCCTCTGGTATTAGCTTTCTGCTGCCATCTGTAGTGTTAGCGGGTCATTTTGGACCCGTGTATTAAATCAGCCATAAAATACCCTAAAAACAATATTTTATCATCCAATGTTTTCTTAACTCTTGTTTAGCTGGTTGGGCTCCCTTATCCATGAAAAGATTGGTATTAATATTTTTTTGTGGCCCCCTGGGCCTTTGTTTTAACAGCATACCCCTCGTTTTCAATGTCATAAAAGTGGTCAAATGAACCTTAAGAGTAGAAGGCAACAAAATAATCAGTTGTTCTGTTACCTGAGTGTAACTGAGAGATATTAAAACAAATTCTTTAAATGTTCAACAAAAAAAAGATTTTAATTTTAATATCATCAAATATAGTAACGTCTATGGTGTTTCGGGTCATTTTGGACCCGTATATATTTGCTTCAAGAAAAGGGCAAAAACAAGTCTTTTTTTCCCACACAATAGAACTTTAAAACAATATTTAACAATATGAAAAACAGAACAGTCATAAATAATAATAATTTACAATAAAACAAAGATTTGCAAATAAATAAACAAAAACCAATCGAGAAAATCACATCAAAAGAATCAAGTTCTTGTTCTATCAATACTCTGTGCAAAGAACATGCCTGTGTGTGTATGTGTGTGTTTAGATGCATGTGTTGCAAAAAGTGACACTTTTAGTGTGTTCTTTGCTTGATCTGTAAACTCCAGCACGGAGGAGAACACCAATGTAGGCATCCAGGTACGTCTCATCAATGTCTTTCCATGTGTTGCCATGGACTTTTTTTCCCTCAAGGTTTGTCATAGCAAATATGACTTTTTTTAGTGACAATGGCAAAAAAAGATCAAAGCACGTCTTGATGTCACTTACTCTTGTCACAGCAAACCTCGTGACCCCAGGGGTCATTTGATGATGTTTGCAGCAGCTGTCCTTCCATGCACATCAGGAGGAACTGTGTTCCACCGGATGTTGCCACTTTTGGATTGGAATGATTCAGCAGGAGCAGCTTCAGCACCAGTGACCTCCTCTTCAGACTGATCAGTTGTGTCTGTTTCTTCCAATTGGTACTCCACATCATCTTCGTTCTCAGAGGCCTGCTCATCTCCATCGCTAAAATCCTGTGTATCCTCTGCCTCATTTGCAACAAATATGTGATCCAAAGCTTAATTTACAGTTAATCTTCTCCTCATTGTTGCATCCTGTGAATTGGAGATGTGTACTCTGCAAGTCACCACCTCTACACTCAAATGGCTTGACAAGCCTGGACATGTCTCCCTTTGTTTGTTCTTGCAAAAAGGCAAAGAGAAAAGCCCCTAAATGAAGCTCAAGTGGTTGGAGGAAGAGGCTGTTGGTTGACTGTGTGTTCATGTTTTAATTTTGGGCATTTTTTATTGTTTTATAATAGAAAATTTTAACCGGGTCACAAATGACCCGAACACCACAGAAGTCATTTTTTTCACCAGAGCACTTTATAATTTAGTAAAAAAAAAAAAAAAGATTTTACTTTGTTTAAATGTAAGTCCCTGACAAAGTCAAAAAGTTTCAACTCAAAAAACAAATGTATGAAGTGCTTTTATGCATGCTAAAACTCAAAACGGGTCCGCCGGGACCCTAACACCATAGGAAGGTTAAAGCCATGGTTGTCTAACTCTGGTGCTGAATGGCCACTTTTAAGCCCACTGCTGGCCTCTGCAGAGCTTAACAATAGACGAATCAGGTGTACTGAAGCAGGGACACGTCTAAAATTCTGCAGGACCTCTAATCTGCACGTCCGATATTCAAGATCTAAATTGCATGATGGTGTAAATGAACACTCCAACCTGGCTGGCTCCCTTGTTGGTGCCCATCTGCAGGCTGATAGTCGATTGGTCCTCTGGTTTGTCCATGCCAATCTTGGAGTCATACAGATGACGACGCGTCCCGTAAGAGGTCATTCCCTTTTGACTGGCAAGCTTGTTGGTGCCCATCTACGGACAGAGCAGAATTTATTTGTCAGTACTTTTGATATAAATCCTCTAGGACTACATCTATGCTGAAAATAAATTTGAAAAAAAATCCATCCATAATAACGATGTTGGTGGCTGATTCTGAAAGATCAGAGAAGCTGAGAAGTGTCAAAAGAGATGTGTCTGACACATTTAGTCTACAGATCTGTGTTAAAGTGTGACAGTGGAGGGACACATTTCATGTTTGCCAACCAACCTGCAAACCTATGATGTTCCGACCCTCCCTGAGCTTCTCGGGAGCGAAGCGTCGCTGCTGTTTCTCAGCATATTTCACCCCTAAATCGTACTTAGAGTGGAAACCTTTAGATTTGGCCTGAAGAAAAAAAAAAAAAAGACAGAAAGGCACAGTAGATATTAAAATGACAGAAATATAACAAAAATATGTGCCATATTACTCCAAACTTTATCATAGTTGCTTATCAATCCAAGAAGGCATGTCCACACTATCTTGATGAGCTCCATTGCAGACTCTAGTAAAGTAAAAATGGATGGATACATCTTAAACTCTACAGGCCTCAGTTGGCTAATTAGAAAAAATGGACTTGGCAGGTTGTCTGGAAGGGCTGTTGGAGAGAAACTCCTCGCTCTGAAAAACATCCCATTCATCCACTTTCTATCCTAATCACTCCAATTTGGAGTGTCCAATCAACCTAACAGGCATCCTAAAAAAAACATGCTCATCACGACTTCAGTTTATGAAGTTACAAATAAAGACTGCTAAACTTCTGGAAAGTCATGACCAAAGTGAAGCCTTTTGGTCAGAAATTTAAAGAAAAACAAAGCACATGAGCAAAAAGAATAAAAAAAAACAACAATAACCACAAATCAATTGTGAAGCACGGTGGTGGAGGGCTGATGATTTGGGCCCGTTGGTAGACCTGGACACCTTGCAGTTATTTGAATCTACAATAAACTCATCTGTATATCATTATATTGTAGATACAACGCTCGCCCAAATTTATTGTTCGAAACTGATTCAACAGGTTAAATGGTACCAAACGTTAGTAGCAAATGCACAACAAAATGTCTAAAAAAGCTTAATTTTTGTTCAATGAGTAATGTGTTATGTAATATTCTGCTAATTTCATGTTGCATATACCAGAATTTTTAAAGCTCATGAGACCCACATTATGGGGTATATAACAAAAATCAAATCAAATAAATCTTTAGCAACAAAAGTAGGTGTGTTTTTTTCTCTCATAACTGCAGGTTAATGATAACTGCACACAAACTGGAATAGCTTGATTTTTGTTGTTGTCAGTAGGTTAATAATGTGTGTGTAAAGCTGCTCTCACCGTTCCGGCCAGAGCGATGAGAGAGCTCTGGACCTGAGTGTGGTTGACATTCTCAAACAGGTCGTTGGCCTCGAAGATGTCGTGTGGCCTCAGGCCGTAGTCTGTGATGGCACGGACAAAGTTCCCGATGTTTTCCAGCTGAGGAAGACGGCGGACGCCGTACAAAAGAGCGGTTAGTCGAGAAGAGGCACCGACTGTTTCCTCAAGCCACGTTCCACCATCAACACGGTTTTACAATCTGTTGTGTGTGTTGTCTGAGCGCATCGGGGAAATTACAGCCATGATAAATCACAACTGATCAGAGTCACAGGACTTACCCCCCCCCAATCAGTCTATGTCTTGTTTGGCCCTCAAACTTTATGACCGTGTCAGAATGAAAGGGCATTTTTGGAGCACAGAAGACTTTTTACAGCTCTCATGAGGAAGTTCTGCCTTTTTTTAGTTTGAACCGCAGTAACTTCAAATCGATCATTTTTCATGGAACATCTTTTTTTTAAGGGTGAGGTATAAATCCTGGCCAGCATAGTTTTTTTTATGTTAACCCTGATGCTTATCTTGTCGATGAAAACATAAATAAGTGGTAAACTCTAGATGCCTCGGGTCATTAGTATACAATTATTAGTACAAATCTCTCATCCAAGAAAATAATTAAGTTCCTGGTATGAATGTGGTATCAGAAAATTGTTGTAACTGCCTGGTCTGAATATCAAAATTGGGAACTTTTGAAAGATGTATTAATCTACCCCAAAGAAATAGATTAGTTTTTTTCAGCTATGTAAGTTTTAGTTAACGATAATACCGTATTTCTTTATGGAATTCAAATAAAC